GACCATTTTAAGCTTCAAAAAATTCTAATCGCAGCAAAAATGCAATGCATTATGTTCCAGATCTGGTCCAGAAAATGGTGGGAACCCAGCCTGAGGGTTTGTTCACACCAAATCTGGACCAGAGTTTCTGCACCTGCAGTGTATTTTGCAGTGTATTTTGCAGTGTTTTTGCCGCATTCCGGGCCATTTTTTGTTTTTAACCCCTTCATGACTGAGGCCCTTTGTTTTCATTTTTTGCACCCATGTTATATTCCACATTTTAGGCCTGAAAATGACGTAAAACCCCCCAACATTATATATTTTCTGAATGCCAAGACCCTATAGAATAAAATGGTGGTAGTTGAAAATTTTTATGTTGCGCAATATTAGCGCAACTCCTTATTAAACCCCAAAATTTAGTGACAAATTTAATTAAATGCCCCAAAACACAACAAATTACCCATTTTTTGCGGCCCCTTCTTCGGGACGCAGAAGCGATCTGGCGACAGGTAAGTCGCCAGGATCGCTTCTGTTGTAAAGCCGACAGTCGGCTCTACAAGTTTAAACAGACTCCCGGCGGCAAAAGTCGCCGGGAGTCTGTTTAAACAGCCCCGATGCTGGCGACGTACACTGTACGTCGTCAGTCACGAAGGGGTTAAACAATTTTTTTTTTTAGCATAAAATGTGCTTTCATTGTGTGCATGCATTTTTGTGCATTCCAGAGCAGAAAAAAAAGGGCATGCTGCAGTTTTTCCACATGCTTTGGAACTGAATGCTGTGGTGTGAACTAGAGCCCAAAATACCATTGGAATACTTTGGATGCAGTTTTGATGCGTTCTAGAAGTATGTGTTTGTAGATTGTCATTACTAAACATTTCTGAAGGTGTGTTTTGTTATAAAGATCTGGGTAAAGGTCCGCTTCAAATGCTTGTAATGCAAGCAGTGTAAGTTCCTGAATATGAGCTGCTAACATCCTCCTCCTGCAGTCCCTGTACAGCAGGCCTGGAGTGTTAAGGTGGCCACACACTTTACAACCCTCGCAAGACCTTAGTCTTGCGAGGGTTGTAAAGTAATTAAAAAAACGTGCGATCTGCCTATCTTGGACAGGCAGATCGTACTTGCGATCATCGCAAGCCCGCCCCGCTGAGGGGCGGGCTTCCGATGACTGCAATGCTCAACGGGCAGTGTGCGCACACCGGCCCGTTCGGCATTTGTCTCCCGTGCACCGTTCAAACCAGCCGAAAATCGTACGATTCTCGGCTGGATTTCTAGCATGCTCCTTAGACAAAAGATCGCGGGATTTCCAATACACTGCACAATTCTCGTACGAGAATAGCAGGGAATCCCGTGATCGTACGAGAATCGTGCAGTGTGAATGAAGACGTGCGACCATTTCTACTGTACGGTCGCACGTCTTTTGTCTAAGGAGCATGTTAGAAAACCAGCCGAGAATCGTACGATTTTCGGCTGGTTTTTAGCATGCTCGGGAGACAAATGCCTCTCAGGGCAGGTTAATAACACCTAGTTCCATGCAAATGCCATTAACACCTGGTTGCAACTATCAGATTGTGGATTGGAGCAACATTCACCATATTTATTCCCAGATAATTTTTTGTACAAGTCATTCTGAATTGAGAAAGCTGGTTGGATGGCCAGTGAAACGTCTTCAAGAAAAATACAGCAAGTCCAGTTATCTTGACTTATTTTTTACAGATATGAATGTAAGGCTGGTTTATGCATTTTTCATTGTGCTCAGGTTTATTTAAAGCCGTGTAAATCCTTGTAATCCTTTTACACACAATTATCATCCCCTGGGTGAGAGCAGGAATTATAATATAAAAGGGACACTGTGTATTAATTCGCAGTCTTGCGTTGCATACACAAATTGTAAATCATGGTTGGGCCAGGTAAAGTTCAAGCATTAATCGGTGTAGATGTTAAATCAAACCTTTGCCTGGACAGCTCATATTTGCCTTACTTTTGCTTCTAGCACCTGAACAAAGGGTCAATGAGAGAAAAGAAATGCTCATTACTGTTAAGGTCCCATACACCTTGCGCTTATCGTACGATAATTGTGGGAAATCCCGCGATCATACAATCAGCAGGTGTATGGAAGGCGGGCTACCGTTTCTACTGTACGGTCGCACGTCTTTTTGTCGAACGAGCATGCTAGAAAACCCGCCGAGAATCGTACGATTGTCGGCGGGTTAGTGGCGTGCTCGTTCAACAACTGCGGAACGGGCCGGTGTTCAACTGCCCGTTCAGCATTGCGGTCGGGGGCGGGCTTGCGATAATCGCCAGTATGATCTGCTCGTCCATGATGGGCAGATCGTACGAGCTTTTAATTCGCTTATAACCATCGCAAGGCAAAAGTCTTTGAGGGCCCAAGTCGTGTATGGGCACCTTAAGGTGGCCATACAATGTGCAAATTTTCACAGTGCTTGCTGCTTCCAGCTGGCATTGGCCAATCAGCAGATTGAGGAGCCAGTCGGAAAATCTTCGAACAAACAGCTCATTGCTTCTTTTCGGGTATTGATTAGATTCTTTGTCCTGCCAGTTGAACAAAGAAATCAAACGTATGGCTAGCTTTAGTCTGCTTGAAAGGTGTAATAGGGCAAAATAGATCTGAGAACCAAACTCCAATTAGATGGTAATAGTTAATAATTAGTTAAAGGAGAAGTACCAGGAGAGTAAAATACTCTTACCAATACTTAGAGCTGGTGTGGGACCCTGCAGCTGTCACATGTGAGCTCTGAGCTGAACAAACATGTAACCGCTGATCACTGGGCTCAGGGTCTCCTCCCTGATGAGAGCAGTGTTGCTCAGTCACCGCTTCCTGCAGGGATTTCCCCTCCGCACTCTGTTCCCCCAGCACTCATTGGATGGACAGACGGGAGGGGGCGGGAACAGCTGGCTATGGCTCTAAAGAGGCAGTCAGGTGTCAATCAGGCAGTGCGGTGGATCCTGACAATATTGTTGGAAATCTTCCTTGCTGCAACGTGGCTCTGCACGGTCAGAATATAACAGGCAGTAGCCCACTAGATGCTGACTTTTGGGGCACAGGAACACATTTTGCTCATGAACTTCTGTGACCCAAAGAGAAGTAAAGCCAAAAGAAGTTTGGCTTTACGTCTTTTTTTTTTTGGGCCAGTTGATGGAGAGATTAAATGTACAGTATATGTAAATGCAGCTATTGGCTGCAGTCCCTGACTGACTATTTTCAGACTTCAACAAAAACCGTTTGGAAAATGGACTTTTGTCAAATGAGGGTGGCGGCAGCACAACACACTACTCAAAGTTCAGCACAGTTGGCAGCACATTTGAGCAGTGTATGGTCAGCTTAAGCTAGCAGGCCATACTTTCTAATTTACATTCCTTCCCTTTGGTACGGATCAGCCAAAGTGAATGGGCACACAGACTGCCCGTATACCACAGGGCGATGTCTGAGCAAGTTATTGGCATTTCCACATAGGAGGGAAGGGGGCTTGCTGATGCTTAGGTAAGCCTCTGAGCTTCTCTAGAGGCATGGAAGGGGGTTTAAGATGTTGTGCCCGATTTGGTAAAGTTAACTGAAATATTTTGGATTTTAACAATGGTTTGCTTTTAAAGGAGATCTATGGGGTCAGTGTTTTTCCCCATAGTTCTCCTTGGGGTAACGGGAGGACACAAACTAGCGTCCTCCCGTTACCCTAAGCTCAGTATACCGCGAGCTACAGCTCGCGGTATACTGAGAGGCCGCACCTGGAGCGGATCCCGACTTAGATGACAGGATCCGCCCAGCTGCGTGAGTGACAGCTGGCTCTGCCTATGTAGAGGCAGAGCCAGCTGTACCCGCCCCCTCCCCCGTCCATTCCGCCAGTCAGCGCTGGCAGATCGGAGCGGGGAGAGGGGAATCCAGCCCCTCCCCCTGTCACGGCAGAGAGCCGTGACAGGATCGAGAGGTGAGGGAACCCGGTATGTGTTCCCTCACCTCCAGATCTACTGAGCCGACCTGTGACAGTCTCATTGTCACAGGTCGGCTTAGAACTATGAGGTGAGTGGAAATCACTCACCTCATAGTTCTCCTTTAAAGCAAACCCTGCCCATGCAGGAAAATAACAGGTTTGCAATAATGCCCCTTCCCACCAGCAGCACAAACACTCCTTTCCTTTAGGTCTCGTTCACACCTAGGCATATTGCATATGCGCGTCTGTCGTGCCACAAACGCGCGTTTTTACCGCAATTCGCGGTAAAAAAGTCGCGCCTCAAATGCGCGCTTCCGAAGGCTACTTGGCTGTATCCCAATGGGAACGCGCAACAAAACGGCCTAAAGTAGTACCTGTACCTTTTCAGGCGTGGGCCGTTTTGTAGCGCCAAGGTGGGAACGAGACCATTGAATACAATGGGATTTATATTTTTGAGCGTTTTGTAGAGCGTTCGTCGAGCGTAGAACGCGCTACAAAACGTTCAGGTGTGAACGAGGGCTTACTCTCCTGCTCTGTTTAGTTTCTGGTAGTGACCTGGTTGTTCTAGGTTGGAGTATGTGACTCGCTCTGTATCTTCTAGTGACAGCACTGGTATTTGGGTATTGTGCCACTGCTGTCGTATTGGGCCACTGCTGTCACATAGGTGAATGAAGGGCTCAAACTAGAGTAACTTGTTGCTTCTTTCCTTGTGAATGCTGACCGGGTAGGTGGGTATGTGCTTGGGGACAAGGGGGTGGGAGAGATTAAAGGGAACCTGTTGCTGTTCCCTGCATGGAAAGCATCTATTATACAGGTATAAAATAAAGCCAGAAATTGAGGCCAGATCTGTTTTGTTCTCATTTGGCATTGTTAAAAGCATGCAGTGTGTGTGCATAGGAAACTTTACAGAAGGTAAAATGCAGATGTGAACTTTTTCATGCCCTTGACAAGCATAGGGGCAATCAGAATACATGTAAAGTGACAGTGTATGAAATCCTTGCTTAAAAGTTTTTGATAATTACACAATTAAGATCCTTGCAATAGGCTTGAAGTGGTTACTGAAATATATTTCTTATCTTTGTAGCTACTGAAACCTGGCATATCTGATGTGAAGCACTGCAAAGACATGGTTGATTTTGGAAAGTGGCCTTTATTCACTTTGCTGTCACCCCAGGAGGTGTCCTCCATCCGGCAAGCCTGTGTTTTTGGTACTTGTGCCAATGAAGTTATCTACACTACTGACAATGAGGTAAGGTGCAAAGTCATTTCTATCTTTCACCTTTCTAACACTTGAACACTTTAGTTGCTGCTAGGCAGTTTGATTGGCCAGTCTTCCAGATTCCTTAATAATCTATCCACCTTGCGCCAAATGCTCAGTAAAGTTAGGTGGGGATACAACTCTAACTTAAAATGACAAGGTCCAGCGGAGTGCCTTTCTCATTCTATGGGAAACCACCGGTTGTACAGAGACTCTACCATCAGCTCCTGGTGAAGCTATGTGTAGGGGAGGCAATTCAGAGGGGAGATTGGAAGAACCGCTCACCAGGACATGAAATAGAGTGGAGAGGGTTCTTCCATATGGACATGCACGGTAAGAACAAGCACAAGAGTCTAAGACCTTCCAGTTTATCAAAAGCTTGGCTAGATCTCCATAATTAGTGAAGCATCCAGGTTCAGAATATGGGTGCCAGAGTTACAAACTTGGGCCATGATCAGGTTGGGTCTTCTCCACTGGTTTGTCTGTAAAGTTTCTCTGCACTTTAGTGCCCTTTTATTTAATTGACTTGTTTTTCAGGTATTTGCGTTTGGGCAGAATTGCAGTAATTGTCTGGGAACTGGAGATAATCAAAGCACTATGGTCCCAAGGAGGCTTGATCTTCTCTGTGGCAAGAAGATAATTGGCATTAGTTATGGCAGTGGCCCTCATGTCCTGGTCTGTACTGAAGGTATGATGGATGCTTTATTTTCATCCTAGATGTACTTGTCATAACATAACTTTCACCGCAAGATGGTTGACTGCAGCTTTATCGTGCCTGTTAACAGGCATTTCCTGTTACAATTTAATTCACATAAGCTTCCTATAGGTCTTGGCAGGTCCACCATTATACATTTTGGGGCCCACCACACTCTACCTGACAGGGCCACCCTCCTGACTCGGCACACAGTGAGATGCTGCATTGTGCTCTAATGTGCAGGAGGAATTGAGCAGAGGTTCTCATCCTTGGTGATTTCTTCCAAAATCTTTAAAGTGGAAGTAAAGTGCTTTTATTAAATAAAATTGCTGTGGAGGTGATTGCCATAATGAGCTAGTATGCGCAGTATATTAGCACATTATGGCTGACTTCCAGACAATTCCCTTCTACATTGCTGTCTGCTCTCCCCTCCATCGCTGGCACTGCCATCATTTTCCGGGTTCTTTGATCGGCATGGTGTAACTTCTGTGCATGGGAGGGCATCCAGTTGCTTCATTCCAGCATGCTGGGTCTCCTGCACTGAGAAAAAAGAATTGGCAGGTAGGGGCTTTTTTTGGTAGAAGCGACTTGCACAGTCTTTGCTATCAAAACCTGCCTATTAGCAATTTTAAAAAAACACATTTTACTTCCACTTTAAGGCAGTCCATTGAATACAATAAAAGTAAAACACCTGTTCTGAATTCCCATACTTTTATTTATATAATAAACGCATACAAATTTGAAATGTGTATTCCCATACATTTATTGTACAAGCTTTTTTTTTTTTTCTGCCTACCTGCCATGCATGTCTGTTGATCTACCTTGCACTTATGCTTGATCTACCTTGCAGTTATGCTATCATTAGGTAGATTGATGAACATACAGTATATAGCAGGTGACTCATCTGTTCATTGCATGCAGTGCTACATGTTCTTCAGTGCAGGTCTCCTCCACTCACCCATGCGGTCGCTGACCAGTTCTCTGTGCCGCTTCTTGAATGTCTGATCGCTCCCCTACTACAGGTGAAGAGTTGACACTGGTGTACCCCAACAGTCTGACACCCAGCTTCCAAGTCACTACCACCAACAATGGTTACCCCTGATCCCTTTTAATACTGCACCCCCTGCTTCCCTCTTACTTTGCTTACCTCTACTTTCCTCTTCTGACACTGCTCACCCTTGCACTCCTTGCACTCCCTGCACCCCTCTTCCTACTCTGCTCACCTCTGCACCTCTCTTTCGATTCTGCTCACACCCTGCACTACTTGTGGCAGGGGAACAGGTGAGCTATGTTGGGAGAGGGATGCAGAGGGCGAAGAAGTTAAGTTTTAGAGGGCAGCAGGCTGCCATCCTCTTCCAACACTATTAACTTCTGCACACTTTTCAATACTTTATCTTACACTGTGCACACCCTTTCTTCTAAACTGCTCACCCCTTGCAGCTTACCTCAGGGCAGGACTCCAGCTCCTGCCGAGGTCTGCAAACGATGCAGGGGCAGAGCTTTATCGTGGGGTGGGCGGAGCCTAGGCAAGAGCAGATTGGCCTGCCAAGCAAACTGCTCCACCCACTTTCCATGGTAACTAGTTTATGGACAGGCTCCTTTCCTCCTTCACGGCACGTTAGGGAAGGAGGGGGAGGAGCCTGTCCATCAATTGGTTACTATGGCAAGTGAGCAGGACCATACTTCTTTCCTAAGGGGCCCCCCTGCTGACTTGATGGTGCATGGTACAAGAGTGCTGGCTGTACCCCCACCCTGATGGTGGCCCTGGGTCTTGGATATCCATTATCTGATGGCTGCGATTTTTTTTTTTCTTTGTGCAGTGGTAACTCTGTTGCATAAAGGTGTTTTAGTGGGTAACTGGATGCACCTGTGTGGGCTGCAAATATTTAGCTATGAGGCTATTGCTCTTAATGCAGTGCAGAGATGAGTAGATTAAATGTTCTAATACCTAAACAATGTTTTCCCCCCCTCAGATGGAGAACTGTATGCATGGGGACATAATGGCTATAATCAGCTTGGAAACGGCATTACAGTGCAGGGCGCAGCTCCAGTTCAGATTGGTGTTGAACTGATGGCAAGGAAGGTGGTGCAGGTGGCTTGTGGCTCTCATCACTCTCTGGCCCTGTGCATGGATGGAGAGGTAATCATGTAAATGATCAATAAATCTGCATTGACATCAATTCTGCTTTGTGGATGGTACACATATACAAACGCTAGGATTTTTCGCAATAGTCCTTGGCAATGCTGATAGCTGCTTCTGTAGAGAAAGCAAGGGGGGGGATTGCAGTTACTTCTCAATGGGAGTAATAATTGGGACGACTAATTTGCTGTAACCATTGGATAACTTCCACTGCATCCTTGTAGCACCCCTGGCCAGTATATCACAAGATGAACGGATCACTTTAATAAAACCTAAAGTCCTAGGGATGCCTGAAACTTTACCTCAAGTTCTCTAAAGACTTTGGGGAAAATCAATGAGCCAGTTGCAAAATCTGGGGGTGTGAATTGTGCGTACTAACAGTATATTTTGCCCTGAGTGCAACAAAGCGAAATGAAGTAGTTTTGGCTTCGGACTGCAAAAAAAAAAATCTGAATTCCATTCACAATAAAATGCCTAAAGGCGATATTGGACAGACAGTTCTGTCGCTGGCAACACCTTGCCAGCAGCAGAATGGCTTTCATTATTACTAGTGGATGTTACTCTGCTGCTGCCCAACACATTGCCCCAAAACAGTCACTGGTGATGGCTCAGCAGCAGCTGAAAGTTGATTTTTACTTTTGTTGCAGGTCGTGTTGCCTACTGTAGAATTGCCTTTGCGACATGACCTGAGGGGGCTGCTGTTCAGAACGCAAATTCAATATTCCTAAAATGCCTCAAGTACTTGAGTTAGATTGGTTTGTGTTGCAGTAGGAGTGCTGTAGGGATGTGTATAACATTTTGGAGACGTTTGCCTTGTAGACTGGTACAAGCTGATTCATGAACTATTCTCTGGAGCCAGGAGAATGCATAGCCACAACTTGTGACTTGTGTACCGGATTATTGAGTTCTGTTGGGACCCCTGATATTTCCTTGGAGCCCCCGACAGTAAAGTAAAAAAAATAAAAATATGCAATACAAATAAAATTTGGAAAGGTTAGAAATTTATTTTCCCACTTTAAAAATTTCATTTCGGTGCACCTAGTTTCTACATTTTTTTTTTAAAGTAGTAAAGGTCTGGAAGTTTTTGACCCTAATGCATTGTCTGCATTAGGGTAAAAACGGCCCAGCACCTTTTTTCTACACCAGTCCCCCCCCACACTTGCCTGTCAGTTGCACTCGTCCCTGCCGCCGGTCCTGAAGCGATCCTCCGTTCCCCCGAACTGGGTTGCCAGGGGAGGATACTGATGGCAGAGGAGCCATAGGTTCCTGCCACCATCAATCAAAGAGGGAAGGACGCACACAGCCACTGCAGGCAAGAGTGCGCACGGGTGCCTCCATTAGAACCATGGTGGCACCCGTGCAGGGGCTGGTGGGAAGAGCGCTGCGGGAACCCACTAGAAAACGAGGAATGAAAAACTTTTAAAGAAATAAAGCAACAGCCTCCAGCAAAGGAGGGTCTCAAGGAGAAATTAAAAAAAAAAAAAATTAGGCTTTAATATCACTTTAAAGTGGACCTTTTACCCCCTCTGACTAAAAATCCCCTCAGTATACAGCCCCGCATGCTGATAAGAAATAATCTTACATTAAACAAACATACTTTTATTTTGCTAATTTTTCTACTTCTTCCTGGTCCTCCTTTGGCACAAATTATGTATTTGTGCTCAAGCATTGCATCCTGGGAAGATTACATCGGCAGAGCATTGCTGAGCATCTCATCTCATTTCCCTCCCCTGAGATGATGTGCATGGTCACATGTCCTAGTCACATGTCGGAGTTCCAGGAAGTAAACTGCGATATATTAATCTGCCCTTATTAAAAATGGTCACTAAGAATGGGGAGGAAAACAAAAATAAGGAATGCAAAAAATAAAAATCCTGCATATTATCTAAAAATGTTTGTAGATTTCCATTACTAAACATTTCTAAAGGTGTGTTTTGTTTTGAAGATATTGGTAAAGTTCCTCCTTTTTAAATCCAGTAAGTATATATTGAATTGCCACATGCTAAGTGTTGGATTATTCTTGTAACGTAGGTTTTTGGTTGGGGCTATAACAATTGTGGACAGGTCGGCACAGGGACCACTACAAACCAACCAGTTCCTCGGAAAGTGTCGTCTGCACAGCTGCAGAGCAAGGCGGTGGTTGCTGTTGCAGCTGGTCCAACTTCTTCCGTGGCTATAACAGACAATGGGCAGGTAAGTTCAGTATGCGAGTAGTCTTATCTTTTTAGGTTGTTTCAGGGTGGATTTGATTTAAATCACTAGTAAAAAGGCTTGATTTAAATCAACTCTATTTAAATCATAATTTTTAAAGAGCAACTGTCATCTCTGTCCTGCATCGGCTCCTCTGACCCGCTGTTGACTCACCGACAGTCCCATTCACTTTAATGGAACGGCTGGTGATGCGGCAGTGACACAACAAGGTGAGGGATGTGGCGTGCAGCAGGTGAGTGGATGCCTGCTAAGTGCTCTTTAAATGTAAGGACTCGTTCTTACTGGTAAGCATCTTTAATCTTATTTGCCAACAAAATGAAGGTTTCCTATTTTAGAATAATAAGCTGTCAGGTTAGTAAAACCGCAATATCTGAGGTTAATTTTAATAGGTTAATCACACATAGTTGAGCGACTCAAATTCTTTTAATTAAAACCATTACATTGTATGGAGCTATGGAAAAATGATTGTATACAGCTTTGCCATATGTATTTGTGTATAAAAACAATAAAACTTGTTGGAAAGATTAAAAAAATAAAAAACATGTATTAAATATCCAGTTCCTATCAGCATCTTGTTACATAATATTTCTTAATGGAAGTTATAAGTATATTGTTTCTATTGCCTATATTAATAGTGTACCTATAATGTGGTGTTCTAGATGCTTCTTTATATAGTAACATTCCAGACAATGTTACCTCCTCTAAATACGGTCTGTCTATATTTAAGGAATGAACTTCCTGGCTGAGCTTGGCATTGGTCTGACAGTATCTTGCATTGCATTTAAAACACAGGAGATGGTAGACAAACTGCTGAGGTCTGCAGAACAGAATAAAACATTTAATTCTTAAAAAAAATTAAAAAAAACCCATAACATTGTTACATGTTCTTGCATTTGCTTAAACATCAATGTTTAGTAATGCATTAATGCAGTGCATGTTATCTCGGCTTGCAGAGCTTGGATTCATTGAGTTCACCAAAAATGTAAATATTGCAGGCTATACAGCCTCATGCTACATAACTAAGCTCCATTTCATGCTGAATAAACTAAATTATTGGTTCTGAAATAGAAAACTAGATAGCTTTTTACACCAGAAGCATTTTATTAAAATTTAAATAAAAGTCCGATTTTTTTTTTTTTTATTTTGTATTTTTATTTTTTTTTATTTTGTATTTTTTTTATTTTGTATTTTTTTTATTTTTTTTTTAAATCAAGTCTGTTTTTTATCCACCCTTGGTTGTTTCCTCATCAAGCATAAGGGCAATGTGCTGATATGTAGGTGTAAATGGTTAGGATCCCTGTAGTGCTGTGCATGGTCTGTAGCTTAGAAGTGTATGCACTAGGTTTTCTGTGTCTTGGACTCCATTTAGTTGTTCTGGTCCTGCTCTCTTCCATGCTTTGAGATTTTTACTCCTGTTAAAAGTTCTATTGCATTCATCATAATGTAACCTTTTTAAAATCATTAGAGTGTAACATCTTCATAATGACCATTTCTGGTGAGCATCTCTACCAACTTGAGTAGCGAAATCTTAACAGTGGTGTCCCCAATACACTAAAGAATTGGGTGTGTGTTGAGCATCTATCAAACTGCAATACCTGTTTGGGTAGAGTGAACCTTTAAACATAATTTTAGGTCTTTAACCCCTTCGTGACGGGAGACGTACACTGTACGTCCAGCCACAAAGGGACCAAATGACTTGTCACGTACACTGTACGTGACGAGTTATTTGCTGCTTTAGAGGGCTGTTAATCGCTGAGAATCAGCTTTTAACATTCATTAATGGATGCCCTTACTACAGAGGCATTCATTAATGAAAGGGTTAACCTTTTTCAGACACCCGATACCTTAATATCGGGTGTCTGAGAGTCAAAGCAAAGCGGACACAGATGCCGGCTTTTGCCGGCATTCTGACAGCTCGTATAGATCGAGAGATATCTCTCTCAAGCTATACTGGCTTTTTTTTTTTTCTTTCATGAATAGATACAAAATGTGTCTATTCCTACAATGTATCTATTCCTGGAAGAAGAATGTTTGTTTGCTGATCGTTGTTGCAACAATCAGAAAACATTTAGTAACAGCTGAATCCTGAACTGCTGCAGGATCAGTGTCACTAACTTATTATCGGCTGTTCTGAAGTTTGAAGCAGCCTGATAATAACCAAAAATTTATTAATTTATCATGCAGTAACAGTGAGATTAATTCACAAAATCTGCTTGATATAATTAAATAAATAAAATTTTTAAGTTTAAAAAAAATAGTGAAAAGTGTAAAAAAAATAAAAAAATGTGTAAAAAATAAAATAAAATAAGGGACAAATAAATGAATGTATTTATTGCATTTTTTTAGCTGTGCTGGTTTTGTAAAAAAAATACTACAAATCAAAACTGGGAAAAAAGTGTTTTTTTTAAACGGTTTTTTCCTCTTTTTTTATATTTTATTTGTCCTAAGTGAGGCGTTAGACACACATATGTGATATAAATATGTAGCCCTATCTGTCCTCTAAAAAACAATATATAATATGTGTGGGTGCACTTTGTAAGAAAGTATATTACTGACGTGGAAGAATCACACAGCAAAAATGTCAAAAGTGTGTCAGTCATTTACGAACAGAAACTAAAAACAAGCTCAGTCATGAAGGGGTTAATGTACTTTAGTGTTGACCAATTTTTTTTTCTCTTTTCCTTTCCCAGGTCTTTGGCTGGGGTTACAGTGGAACGGGCCAGCTTGGGCTGGGAAGTACTGGAAACCAGCTATTACCTTGTCGAGTAGTCTTTGTCCAGCAAGTATGTGTGGTGCAGGTATGTTTTACCCTATTAGATCAGAACATTTAAAGTATTGATATTGTGGCATAAGATACGATCAAATATTGGAACCTGTGAATTTTCTGGTTTTCGCATTATAACCACTGGTCTTGTATGTGCTGAACTGGTAAAATTGTAAATGTTGCCTTTTTGTACACTTTCATACCTTGCTGTACCAGTCTGTGGTTCTCTATTATTCCTTACAATGCCTATTGATGTAACTATGTGAAAACTCAGTAAAATTGAATAATAAAATCTTGATATTGCAACGCATTTCTTAAGTGCTAAAAGTAGCATAATTAGCTGAACTTGCATGCATATCCCCCCCCCCTTTTTGCCCCTTTTTTTTGCCCTTTTTTTTTGCCCTTTTTTTGCCCTTTTTTTTGCCCTTTTTTTTTGCCCTCAGTCAAACTGGGCTTTTGTGCCCTCCAGCTTCAGTCATTGAGACTAGGTATCAAATTAAAGGAAACTTGGCGGGTTTATTTTCAGGTTTTTTGTTCTTGTTGTTGCACACGTATACCTCCCATGCCAGTATCTCACAGCAGTGGGAGAGGTTTCCAAATCTGATTAATTTTTTAGTTTATTCCAATTTCTGGTCTGTGATTAGTTGGGGATATCTGCGGCTGCCTGTGGAAAATAGCTCACTTCATCCTACTGGCATCAGCTGTGTTTGGTAACTAGCAGAAAAGTAAAATATAAAAGCTTGTCTAATACCATTTTATAGTGCTTGCCGAGCATGTTAAGGCTTAGTCATGCTAGCTTTATGCCTGTATTCTTTAAGGATTTTGTGAAAAAAACAATGTTTTGTTTTTGCAGATTGTATGTGGCTATAGCCATACTATGGGCCTGACGGATCAGGGCTATCTCTACTCCTGGGGAGCAAACATGAATGGGCAACTTGGCATTGGAAATAAGAGCAACCAACTCTCTCCAGTGAAAGTAGACCTAAATGAACGGTACGATAGCAATCCTTCTCCTAATTCTGTATTAAAAGAGCATTTGTAAGGAATGTGTAACGAAAGAAATATGAAGGCTGCCATTGCTAATGCTGGTTTTGATAGAAAGGTGTCTGAACACAGTGCATCGTGGTTTGTTGTGTAGGGGGTTCCTTGGCCAAAAGCGCCTACCATGACTGCATGAGCATCATAACTGGACCACGAATCAGTGGAAGGTGACCTGCTCTGATGAATCACCTTTTTTTTGTTACCTTGATGTGGATGGCCGTGTGTTCATGTGTCACGTGTGGTGGGGATGACTGCAGGATGCATTATGGGAAGAAAGCAAGCTGGCAGAGGCGTTGTGATACTTTGGGCAATGTTCTGCTAGGAAACACTGGGTCCTGCCATTCATGTGCATGTTACATTGATGTATAACAACTACCTTAACATTACGTCCAACCTACCTAAACATTGGTGCTGACCAAGTACACCCCTTCAAGGAAACTGTATTCCCTGATGGCAGTGGTCTCTTTCAGCAGGATAATGTGCCCTGCCACACCGCAAAAATGCTTCTGGAATGGAACACCTCAATTAGTGTGAGGCGTTGACTTGCCATCCAAATTCTCCAGATCTCATGTCAATTGACCATCTGTGGGATGTACTGGAAAACCCTCTGAAGGATCTGCTACAGACGGCTTGGTGCCAGATACCACAGCATACCTTCAGAGGTCCATCTCATTAGTTACTTGTTAGTCTGAGATGGCATTATCGTTTTTTTTTTTTTTTTGTTCTAATGAGGTTTTTCATATGAAAGTTTTTAAATGAAAATCTACCAGTGTATGGCCAGTTTCAGTTTTTGGAACCCATTAAACATTCATTTTTATTTACCAGTTTTTTTTTATGGTGCCAAGTAGTCATTGTAAATAATGCCTAATTCATTACAGAATAACTAATACTGTTTTTCTGCCCAATGCAGTATTGTGGAGATTGCAGCTTGCCACTCGTCCCATACCTCTGCCGCCAAGTCTCAGAGTGGACAAATCTACATGTGGGGCCCATGCCGTGGCCAGATCATCCTTTCTCCTCTGCTCACAAACTTTACTTCTACAGATGACGTGTTTGCCTGTTTCTCAAATCCACCTGTGATGTGGCGAATGCTTTCCATAGGCAAGTACTAGCCACTTTAATTGGCACCATTGGAATTGACCTACATCAGATGATCCTTCATATCATTCAGATGAAGTACATGGAGAGACTAACCTTTTATGAGTTGGATGTCAGCTGTTGGGTTGAATGAAATATCTGCTTAGGTCTTGCAACTCCGCCAATAAAATCGCTGCAGAAATTGCCAATTCTGCCTACTTGTCACAGCGGTTGAAGTGGTCTCATGTTACCAATTTCTTTTTGCATTTAAAAGAAAAGAACATTGCCTGGAAGAGAGGCATTCTACTTTTTTAGTATTTTAACTTTTGCTGTGATCAGCAAGCAATTGATTATTGTGACCTGTTGCTGTGGTTTAAGGCAGGACTGAGCTGATCGCCCCTGGGTTTAAAAGCAGGTGCTGTTGGGTGCTCTGTAGCAGGATTGGCTGATCAGTTCAGCTCCTGGGTTTGCCAGCAGTTCTGCACAGAGGGCAGCTTCACACCATTTTCTGGACCAGATCTGGAACGCAGTGCTTTGCGTTTTAAGACGTGTTTTATCATGTTTTTATATAGTAAAGATTGTCACCAGCACACAAAGGATTTGAAACGAAAAGTCCTTTTAATTACAAATTGCCTTGTACTAAATGGCAATTTTATTCTGTGTACATTGCAACTTTTCACTTTTGAATTTCCCGCTGGCTGTGACGCCCGAAAACGAAACAAAGTCAGATGCCGGCATCTGACTTTTAGTTTCGTTTTCGGGCTGCGTACATTAGGACGCCGCGGGCTCGCAGGGACAAGGTGAGTCACTTTTCTGTGCAGTCCCGAGTCTGGCTCGGGGTTACCGCTCCTGGTATGGAAAATTCACCCCGAGCCAGACTCGGGAATACCGCCAGGGAGGTTAAAGGACTTTTTGTTTCAAATCTTTTTGGTGTGCTGGTAACAATTTTTTTTTCACGGTGCCGTCCGTGGTCACTACAAGCACCCACCTGGTTCGCAGGTTTACTACTAATCCGGTAAGAAGTGCAGCTGGTTTTCTACTACATTTATCATGTTTTTGTGTCTGTTAAAAATGGTATTACAGGTGTGTTTTTATGCGTTCCAGTGCATTCCAGACCAGATAAAATAGGACAAGCACTATTTTTCTGGTCTGGAACGGACTGCGCTGGTGTGAACAGAGGCCAGAAATAGCATAGGGATACATTAGGATGCATTTTGGGTCTGGAAACAGTCTGGTTTCTAGATGATCCGGACATGGTGTGAATGGGCCCTGAATGTGTCCAGGAGATGCAGTAGCTGCTATCTTGGTGCCATTGTAAAACCACACCCAGGATCTAGGTGTATTGAATCAATGACTACACAGAACAAATGGCTCTGTATGGTATGAGCTACACGGGTAGTTTTCTAGCAGAGTGCTAGTTTGGAGCCCTGTACAATTAAAACCTACTAAATGCAGACAGAGCCAGTTACTGTGTTGTGATCGGTTTAATTACGATTTGGTGATTAACTGTAGGCAATTATTTTATTTTTTTATATAGTATGTTACTAAAATCACTATGCACACAAGCATAGGCTTGGGGAGTTTAAAAATGATCCATTTCTCTAGTGACCAAAAAGCACATGTGTGGTACAGTCTGACCATCGGGGAGCTAGTAGCCAATTTCATGTATATACATCTGACTTTAGTGTGTGTTTTTAAATGGAGTCTTTCTCTGCAAATTGCTGCATTTTAAATAATGCATTTAATCTACAGTATATTGACTTGTTTGGTAACTTCTTTCCATGTAGAAGCTGAGGACTATTTAACAGTCGCAGAGTCTCTGAGAAGGGAGTTCAATAGTGAAGGAACATCTGATTTGAAATTTAAAGTGGACGGGAAAGATATACATGTTCACCGTGCAGTCTTGAAAATACGGCAAGTAGCTATTTATCGTTCCTATATCTTAGTCAGTCCTGCTTTATCCCATACTTTCAATATTCATTTGTTAAAACCGTTCTCCATTTTCATACCAATTAAGATTACATGATGTATGTGATCTATATACTGTTTGAGGTCAGCGACACCCTCCAAGTATTGCTGCTTATGGGTCAGCAGAACATTAGGTCAACGAGCAATCTCAAAAGCAGTTCCAGTTTACCAGTTTATGCACCAAAATCTGCTGGTACAGCACACCACCAACCAATGAGCAGTACCAATATCATTGCATTGACATTTGTCCCTGAATGCTTGCATGTCCAACCGTGATTTGGCAATTGGCTTGGCTTAGATTTGCTAATGCTTGTGCTCCCCAAGGTCTTTTTTACACTGATGCATCTTATCTTCATTTCAAATTCATTATACTGGGCACTTTCAAGAAACCAGGAAATCCATTTGATCCTTATGTATACTACCATGGACTGCTCCCCATGTCCCATTGGGATGCCTGTCCTGCTGTTGCTGCTTGGGTGGTGGGACTGAATACTAACTTCAGAAATGATCTTTTCGGCAGGGGAGAAGAGCTGTTGGGCAAAGTTTCACTACTTAAATAATAAGATAAATGAGAAGTGCTGTTAACATTTCCAGGAAAACAGTTTGACTGCATTTGTGTGTCTGCAGTGACTGACAGACCAGTATACATGTCTGTCTTGTCCATTGAGGGACACGGTAAGGCTGGGTTCACCCTTGGCGTATCGAATATGCGTGTTTTACCGCGTTCCTACACGCTGTAAAACGCCCAGGTGGGAACCATGCCCATAGGCAATCATTGGTTTTCACATGTTGAGCTTTTTACAGAGCATAGGAACGCGCTGTAAAACGCCCAGATGTGAACCAGGCCCGAGTCTTTACCTTCGGGTTTTTTTGCCACCTATTGGAGGCTTGGACTTTAGCAAAGAAAACTGTAAACCAGCCCTGGGATAACATTTCTCCCCCCCTCTTTTTCCCTGTGCATCAGACATTCTACATGGTCTGTATATGTCAGATGCAGACCACAAAGCTGCTCCTGTCATTGCCGGCGTTGCTTTTGGCCGGCACCCTGACAGCCTTCATTGAGCACTGGCCGAAAGGAAGGATTAGTGATGTCTGAACCAGCCAAAGGTGTACACCTTACTAATTAACCACTGAACCACCAGGAAATGTGCAGGTGATGGGGCTCTTTTGTGTGTGCATGGGGAGGGGGGTGTATTTCTCTGTGTAGGTGTGTATTAGGCCCCATTCCCACCTGTAAGTTTAGGTGCGATTAGGGATTCCTGTGTCAGGAACTTGGGTTTTCCTGCAGCAGATGTCACCCGTTCATGTTAATGATCAGGTGACACCTGCTGCATGTAAACACCAGCACATCGCATGTAATGGTATGTGATATGACTGCATGCAGTTAGAAAGCAATTACTCTCCCTGGACACATGATCAGTGCATCCAGGGACAGTGACTGATTTCTAACCACATGTAATCATATCCCTCTCCCTGGATGCATTGATCATGTGTCCAAGGAGAGTAATTGCTTTCTAACTGCATGCAGTTGTATCGCATACCATTTACATGCGATGTGCCGGCGTTTACATGCCGCAGCTGTCACTGGATTATTAACAAATGGGTGATGGCTACTGTTTCTAAATGCCAGATTAGGGATTCCTGCTGCAGGAAAACGCAAGAATCCCTAATCGCACCTAAACTTGCAGATATGGGGCCTAATTGTGTGTTTTTTTCTGTGTGAATCTGTTGGTCCTCTATGATTGAAATTGAAACCTGTGGGAAAAATACACTGACATTGCACATATATACATACTGATATGACACACGCATACCCACATCACTCACAGAAATCCTGACCACACACACAGCATCACAAAAAAACATACTGACCTTGCATGCGAAGAAGCCATTATAAACACGTATACTGACATCCTAAACATACGTAGACATAACACTGGTACCGGATATAGTTGTATTTTGTCGAAGTATGAAATTTGGCAAGTGGTCCCCATGGGAGAAGAACATTTTGTGCAGTGGCCCCAAAGTGACTTCAGTTTGAGACCCCTGGTTTAAGACATTCTTTTATGGACTCCAAGAAAAGTGTTTTACAGGAAGTAAAAAAAATCCTATTCAGCAAATGCATGAGTCTGTGCTGCTACGGAACACGACAGAATAAACCCGTTTCCTTTTCTGTAAGGAAGTTATTGTTTGTTCTGCTGGCTTCCTGTGTGTAATTCCAGAAAAGTTCAAACTTGGGTGTGTGTAGGTTTTTTTGCCTTCTTGGAGGTTACTTATTCAACTTTGACCTATTTCCTGGACATTAAGAGGTTTTTTTCCTAACTTGCCTGTAGGTTATCTGGTGGCCCCTAACATTTTAAGATGCTTCCATGTTTTACAGAATGTAGCTTACATATTCAGTATGATTGTAGCTGTTTTTAGTGTGAAGTTTTTCCTGCTTGACAACTAGTACAGCAGTTTTATTCTCCATTTATTAGAGTGTGGCATCTTATTGTCAGAATCCTAAAAAGCCATAAGTCTGTTTGCTTCTGGTCAGGGAACAGGATTCTTAGCTGCCCCTGCCAAAATAATTTGTTTGGGGGTCTAGGTTTCCCAAAAGCTAACATCCTTTCAGCTCTATTTGTTCTTTTTACTATGAAGGTCAGTAAAGTGGATTTCCATGTTTGCAGTCAAATTTAACCTCGTGCTATGTTTTCATTATTCCGGCATACATAAACAGTTTCATAAAACATTCCTTGCCTCAAAACTCAAAACTGCAAGCTAGTCTTAGTCATTTCAAAGGGACCGAGTCAGTTTCCCCTTATTAACATACAATGAAGAATCCAACCCTACAGACCTTGTTAGGACAGACTGTGTTTAAATCTAGTTTACAATTGATGAGATCTACCAGCACAGTACAGACAGGGTTCATTATGGTACACTTAACAGCCCCCTCAACATTACACCGCGGGGAGCTAGACCGCTACGCAGGATAACATATTTATCCTATGTGAATGCCGTAACAAATATAAAGTAGGTGTTATCCCAGATTGGTTGCCAAACGGGAAATTTCCTTTTAAGGCAACAGTAATTGTATCCCATTCTAGTGTCCAACTAACACCATTTCTCTTCTCAGATGTGAGCACTTCCGCACCATGTTCCAGTCTCACTGGAATGAAAGCTCCATGGATGTTATAGAAATTGATCAGTTTTCCTATCCGGTGTACTTTGCCTTCCTCCAATATCTGTATACAGACGCTGTGGACCTTCCGCCAGAAGATGCCATAGGTATTCATATGAGGATGTTAAAACATTGTGCCTTTTTCTGACCTTTTAGCAGCTGATATGCTAAGGAGTGTCCACACATACACTGCCTAGCTTATATCAATCTTCCCAATGCTTCTCTCTTAGAAGCATAAGAGAAAGATGTAACTTTTTCTGAAGGTAAAAATTAACTTGTACAATGTAAATGATGCGTTGTAGGTTTCTGTAATCTGAGATGGACTAATATGGAATTTAGTAGCCAGTCTCTTTAATCCAGGAGCCAGCAGGATTTTCTGCTCTATTGACAATTTAAGAAATCCTCAAGTGGCTGCTGCTAGCCAGCAAAAGGGTAAAAGTGTTTTGGGTTTTTTTTTTATTAGGCCTCTGCAAATCTCCGGTTAGAGAGCTGCTGTGCAGTGGAGCCTGGGATCGGCTGATGGGCGCACACACACGCATCATACAAGCGATCGCCCGCCCGCTGTTTAAAAATACAAGCATTTCTCCTGCTCGTACACATAGTCGGGTAGGACGTTTTAAAAACGCTCACCCGCATCTGTTTATATACGGCCACTGGACAGGAAATGGTTAAATGAACCTGTTGCTCTTCTCTGCTTGGGCAACGCACAGGGTCACTTTAAAATCGGAGCAGTATAGAATATATTAATCAGCTGGAAAACCTTAGCAGAAAGGTCAGTGTGTCAGAAGATGCATTTCCTTAGCCATGGGATATACTTAGTTGCCGTCTCTGTCCATAGTAATATGGCAGTCGGCTCAATATTTTAGAAATTACAGCTTGAATTCAATTACATTCCCATTTAGTTTACTACATATTCTGAATATGCGCTAGCATTCTAAAGTAGAATAGTTTCAGCTTCACTGTCTAATGAGGAATTTTAAACTCCCCTCTGACACCTCTAGCAAGTCATTACATTGTGACCAGCTTCCTTTGTTCCTATCAGGCATGTTTTGTGTATGAATTGTGTATTGTGTTTTTTAGGTCTCTTAGATCTTGCCACATCGTACTGTGAAAATAGACTAAAGAAGCTGTGTCAGCATATTATTAAGAGAGGGATCACTGTGGAGAACGCTTTCCTCTTATTTTCTGCAGCAGTCCGCTATGAGGCCCAGGTAAATACTTCAGATGCCACCTGTGTTCTTTCAGGTTGATTTACCATTGTAGATTTAACTATATTAATAAAATAACTATAATCTTTTGAACTTTTTGGATGGGTTTTTGCAATTTAGAGAATAAAGGATTGTGGCTGTATGTCTTAATACATCTAATTAAAGGTAATGTGTTTTTCCATTAGGAATGTGTTGGCTTTGTCTGAGGTATCTCCGCTACTGAGAGATTTATTGCTATATTGTCATGTTGGGAGTTTTATAAACCTTAGACAAAGAGCGGCAGGCAAATATTTATTCTTGATTAAATTAACTGTATTCTGAGCTGTTTTGACCCCCCCTGAGCTTGCCATATGCTCTTTATTTGGATGGTTTGACACTTTGGTTCATAGCGCGACACAATTATTTTGTGTGAACTAAAGTGTCACACAAAATAGTATCCAAATCTGCCTCCTGACATCTACACAATGTGTGAAAAATATAAATCCCAATCTAGTTATTAGGAACTCCTATAGAATATAAACACATGAACTATGCATGAGCAAAGGTGCATATAAACTAAGAGCCATATAAAATATGACAAATGTATTAATGTGACTTTGTGGTCATCCACATTCAATTTTGTGTTTTAAAGTGTAAAAGTGTTTAGTCCACAAAGTGCTTCAGTCATGCAAACATTGGTGTATCCACTCGTATTATATCTATCGACCGTGTCTTCACCCGTGTGAAATAACATATCTGCCTCTCACCTTATGGATAGACCTCGCGGAGAGAAGGTCATCAGCGTGTTACCCTGTTTGTAGCCAGGAACGGGTTCTCCTGCCCTTAATCAAAGGATTGTTTCACAGACTTCTCCAATGTTTAATCCCAATCAGTCCAGTAGCTGTCGCTCATCCACACCGACATTAAAACAGAATGTAGATCGCACAGACCATTTGACTTCCCATAAACATTCCTTTTATTTGTAAAACGCCTCACATTTGATAAGATCAATCAATGGCAAAGTACAAGTTTATTTGGATAGTTTGACACTTTGGTTCACAGCACGACACAATTATTTTTCAATAATATATTTCAGTGTTCCTGCTATCACGCATCTGGTGCGGGGTCTATTTAGAATTTATAGTAACTATATGTTGGCTTCAAAATTCACTCTTCCCAATGTAGTCCCAACATTTCATCTAAATGAGGACATTTTTTGTGCCTTTGTCTCACTCTTGTCCGCAAGAGAGCCACTACAACGTCATAAAGCAGATTGGCATTTCCAAAGTTGCCTTTGAAGTTAGAAATCGCTTCTGCAGATTTGCCAGACTGGTCATCCCCAGTAGCTGGATTTGCCAGACTTGAGCAAATTCTATAGGGGTCGAGTGCAGCTCTTTCCACCTATGTGTGTAAGTGTGTGCTGTCCCTTTTTAACATGGCCCTGTTTCTCTCCTTAACTGAGCCCATCTGTTATTTATTTGCAACATGAGCTCAACATGTAAATGAGCAGAACACAACTTAACCTTATTTACTAATTGGAATACTTCCCCAAATCATTGGGTTTTCACCATGGAACTGGCCCCTGTGTTGGCCAAGCTTTGATCCCAAGGGTCACCCATAGTGGGGTACATGGATGACCTCCTTGGAGCAGTTGCTCTCCCACTCCACTATTGCTTGGTGGATTTGTTGATTATCGTAGGCCTACAAGCTGATCCTTATTTTCTGGTCACTGCACATTCCACTAAGTGATGGTGCTTCTTGGGCTTTTCAGCATCAGGCTTCAGTTTCCAAAACCTGTAAGGCCGTCGCCTTGTCCTCTGTACACACTTTTGTGAAGCTTTACCAGGTGGATGTTTTGGCCTTCAGGCATGCCTCTGATTCTAGTTTTGTTCGCTGTTCTTCCTTGGCTCTGTTTGCTGTGTTCCCCCCTCTGTTATTTTACTGTGGTACGGATCAGGCAGCGCCCCCAGAATTCCCATTTACTGGACCATTTTTTAAATTTTATTATAATTTATTTATATTCTTATCATTGTGAAAAAGTGTCAGGCAGGGCAGTGGACAAAGCTCTAGGGACAAAATTGAAGTGAAATAGTTTGATACATAAGTGTAATAGCAGATTACATTGTATTGTGTGTATTCTGTGTATATTGCAACTTTTCACTTTTGAATTTAGCGTCGGCTGTGACGCTCGAAAACAAAACTAAAAGTCAGATGCCGGCTTTTAGTTTCATTTTCGGGCCGCGTACAGCAGAGGACGCCGCGGGATCGCAGGGACAAGGTGAGTCACTTTTCTCTACAGACCCGAGTCTGGCTCGGGGTTACCGCTCCTAGCATTAAAAATTCAGCCCTAGCCAGACTCGGGATTACCGCCAGGGAGGTTAACCACTGAGAAATGCGTAAGCATTCTAACTCCTGTGCCTTGTGATATACGATCAAGTAAACAGGATTATTGTCTTGCTTGTAGAATCCGTCTCTTGGATCACAGGACCCTCCCACTGTTTAGTGATGCATACATAACTGAGGCATGCTGGGAGTGGGAGGAGCTATTCAGGGCTGATCTACAGCTTTGATTTGATTTTGCCAGTGTCCAAATGCCTGATGGTAGTTGCATAACCCAGTGGTTGAAGAATTTAACTTGGCATTTTCTCTTGCCTGTAAAACCTGTTTCTTGCAGTACATTACAGAACACAAATGGATCTTGCCAAATGTGCAGCAACTTTTATGAGATGGCAGTTTGTCTGTTTTTTATATTTTATATTTTAGACAAATTTAGGAGGCTTGGGGGGTGATTTACTAATCTAAACACACGCACGCACCAGGTGCATGTGATTTTCACACAGCAAAACGTATTTATCAACCAAAAAGTCTCTAAAAGCATATTTCCACTAATGCCATATATGGAAAAATCATGCACATGATGCATATATAATGCTGCTTCACAGTTTAGACAAAAATGGTTAGCTCATGCATTTACATTCCTACATTCATCAACGCAAGCAACACAACATAGAGCTAATTTACACAACATCACCTTGCAATTCATGCAGGGCTTTGCACAACACACCTGCTCGGTGTGTACACACTACAAAGCTGTTTAGATTCCACCCATAGATCTTGCTGGGAGGGAACACACTACAGAGGTGTATACATGTTCGTGGTGTGTTTATAAGGTTAGTAAATCAACCCCTTGGGGTGAATCGACTAACCTGTATTTGGTTACTACAGATTCACTAAAGAGACCTTTTTTTTTTTTTACATTGGTGCCAACATACATTTTCAAAAAACTGAACAAGACCAGGCCTTCTCTAAAATTCAGGTGAAAGTACTTCTGTGGCATTAGTAAGACTACACTAGATATGAGATTTTGTCCCACAATAGGAATAGCTTGGTCTTCATGCCAAAAGCTATTCTCCGGGGAATATCTTGCCCATAACCTCCCCAGAAATCTCACCTGGCCTAGAAGATGACTTGAAAAAAAATGTAGGGGTCTGTAGAGGGAGATGTTGGTGTACACAAATGCATTTTTAAGATTTAATTTCTGAGTTTAGTATCACTTTAAATTGAAAGTACCTAAACTATTAACAAAAATGTTGCTTTAACTCTTGGCGCTAATGATTACCATCACACAATCCTCCGGGAGTAGTGTTTCTTGTAAAATATCCACAGCTTTTAGAGGCTGCTCTTCAAAGAGACTCTGGGGTTCTCATCAGATACATAGAAGACGAAAGCAACAAAGCGCCACCTCCTTGTGTGAAATATTTTTATTTTTTATTTGAATAATGTATTTATAACCATTTTTTATTCAAATAAAAAAGATTTCACACAAGGAGGTAGTGCTTTGTTGCTTTCGTCTTCTATGAACAAAAATGTATCTTATTTGTATCACTCGGCTGTAGAGCCTCAAATTATCTCTGAATTGGTGCTGACACTGTCCTTCCTTCTGGAGGGGGGCTACTTGTGTTCCCCATGGTCCCTGTGTGTGTGGTAAAGTAGTCACCGCTCCAAGCTCACTCCTGTGATGGAATGCAATCTCGGGTTTAGTTTACCAATTTCTGTTGAGATTGTAGTCCATCACTGGAGTGAGTTTGGGGTGGTGACTACTTTACAACACACACAGGGACCATGGAGAACAAAAGTAGCCCCCCTCCAGAAGGAAGGACAGTGTCAGCACCAATTCAGAGATGATTTGAGGATCTACAGCTGAGTGATACACAAATAAGATACATTTTTGTTAATAGTTGGGGTACTTGAATACATTTTTAAGATTTAACTCCTGAGTTTAGTGTCATTTTAAGGATCCAAAGGTGTCGAACTGATATTGTTGGTGGCCTGATCTATATGGTTACTATAGTCACTTAAGAAAAATGTATCCGCAGCTTATTCACAGCTATATTCAATTGGGAGCCTTAAAATCTGAGATGAAGAGTGCATAATGTAACTGGGGGAAGTGTATGAAGTCACTTGGTTTAATCTGTTTTTTTTTGTTTTTTTTTTCCTAATGCAGGATTTGGAAGACTTCTGCTTCAAGTTTTGTGTAAGCCACTTGACAGGAGTGACACAGAGTGCAGCATTTTGGCAAATGGATGGCACATTGCTGAAAGACTTTATTATAAAGGCTGGTAAAAGTGGTGGCTTTAAGAACTGACCTTAAAGATGCTGGATATTTTTCATGTACTTGGCATTTACATACCCATCTGGGACCGCTAGAATTGCTAACCCGCTTAAGGAGATGCACTGGGAAAGCTCCTGTGGCTCATTTGAGCAGCCATTGTGTATATTAAAGAAAAACTAGAATTTTTAAACTGCAGTATTACCTGCTGAATGTGAACAGTAGCCACAGATGTGGTTTTTGTGCATACCGGTAGGGATCTGAGACTTTGCACTTACAGATATTTCTACTTACAGAAGATGTGGAACTTTTCCAATTTTTATGTAGTATTTATAATTGGTATTTTTTTGTCTTTTTTTTTTTTGTGGGTTTTTTATTTTGCAAACATTTCAGCCATTCTTCAGAATACAACCAAGGTGGGGGGAAGTAAACATTCTTAAAGACAACCGGTCTTAAGTGACCTATAGTAGCTGCTATTGCTAGTCTCCTAATTCTAGGTGGCCAGTTGTGACTTTAAGATGCTGATCTGGTAAGTAGTAAGCTAGGCTGAACATACCTGTTCTGGTTTAGGGATCTGGTGTTTAACCTGTTTAGGAAGTATGACAACCAGGTAGCTAACGGGTCAAGATTGGAAATGGCAGCTGACATGTCTCCTGGTACAGGTGTGTTGGCTCATAACTGAGGCCTGACATATATACTGGGCTTCATTTTCCTAGCTGGCAGTTCTTAAAAGTGAAGGTAAATGTCTAGTTATATTAGTGTTTGCAAACATTGAGAGCTCTACTCCATGTGTAGTCTACAACGAGCTGCCCTGTAAATGTGAACAGCTTAAGGTTATTTGGACACATTGGGTGTTGGCCATCACCCATTTTGGCCCAAGTATCTTTTTCAGAGCTCTAATGCTGACTTAAGAAACCAAAAAGTGCACTTTGAGTTTTTAATGAAAATACAAAAATGTTTTGAGTGAAGGATACTTGGGGGTTCCGTGTGTATTTTAAATTTCCTTTTTTGAAGCTCTGCAGCCAAATAGTTCTAATGTGCCTGGTCTTTTGTTTTTTTTTTTTACAAGCACCCCACTTCAGTCAGTGGGTCTGACAACTGAGAGGTGGAAATAGCTGGTGGGAACTTTGCTGAAGCTCTGGAGAAAAGTAACTGTCACCAAACATAACCGTTTCTGGTTGGAGTTAAACACATGTGTGGCGAGCCTCCTTACCTTTTTGAAGACTGGGCTAATGTTCTTGAGTGCAGCTATGTCTCCTCAAGGCACTGGGTGCCTAAGCAGTGATGTTGCTGGTTCCTGGAGAACGAATGAATATTTGCCTAGTCTTCAGGTTACTTTTTGCTTAGTGAAAACCATGAAGTAGGTGCACTTTACTGCATGAGCAACGAATGTGTTCAACCTGTCATCTGTAGAATCTTAATGTTCCATGAGAAGTTAATAAAATTTTTATTGTGTGTGGTGGGTTTTATTTTTGTTTGGCAGCCTTTTCCATATCTCCAGTTATGTATGATTGGACTTGTAGACAGTACAAAGGAAATGGCTAATGTCAGTTTTTAGACTATATTTAATCTATAGTTGGAAGAAAGTATGTGAACCCCTTGGAAGTTTCTTCAGTAATTGTGCCATAAAATGTGATCTGATCCTCTAGAGCAGGGGTGACGAACACGTAAAGCGTCACCTATGGTCAATTTTTGGGGGTGCGTGCAATTTTAAAGCATGACATGTTTGGTGTCTATTTACCCGATGTGACCCCGACTCTTATATTTTAGAAAAATATGGTGATAAATGGGTGTGGCCGCTATCACCAGTAGCAACTGAATGCAGAGGCAACTATTTATGATAATAAAGAGTAGATGCATAGTCCTATACAACCGGCCCTTTGAGGGTAACCATACTGCTGATGCGGGCCCTGATGAATTTGAGTTTGCCACCCCTGCTCTAGAGTAAGTTACAAACATGATGTGCTTAAGCTGAACACACAAACCATTGTAATTTCTTGTATTTATTGAATATGTCTATAAAACATTTAGAATGCTGGAGGAAAATAAGTGAACCATTGGAGTTAATAGCTGGCCAAACCGCCTTTTGGCAGCCTTGACTTTAAGTAGCTTTGGATCAGATCTGCACATCGTTCAGGAGGAATTTTTGACCACTCCTCTTTACGAAACAGCTTCAGCGCATTTGTACTGCAGAAAACCAGTTAATTCCAAGGTGTTCACATCCTTTTTCTTGCCTGTACGGTAATCCTAAACCAGCACTAACTGGGAACTAAAGAAACAAAGGAAACACGTGCAGAAGTACATTCCAATGCCAACCTCGTTCTCTAGAAACACTGTTCAGTTTCTGTTCCTGGTTTCTCTAGAAACCCTAATAACAGCTGTGCAGACAATTCCACCTATTTACCCTTGTATAATGGCCTTAAAGCAGAACTCTGGGTGGATTTTTCTTTAGTTAACCCTTACAGTGCAGGGGAAGCCCCACTGCGAAGGTTAATCATTTTTTATTTATTTTTGTCTAGGTTTGGGGTGGAAAGGTACCTCTGAACCGTCTTGATCTTAGATCAGACCTTGGAGCCTCTTTCCCTCCGCTGCAGTGGTCTAAGGTCACATAGAATGTGATGATTTATCAAAAAGGCAGTAGATTTGGTGGGTTGGACATTCATTGAGATGACCTTAGGATATCTCTGCCTTGTCCAATATATGATTTGAGCAGGGCCATCTAATCTTCAATTGCACAAGTGAAGGTGAATACTTTCCTTTTACATACAACATTTTTTTTTTATTGTCTTTTGAAATCTTTTCTCCAAAATGTCATTGCATCTGCTGACCTAAAGGTTATAAAATGAGTATGAGATACATATATTCTGCACTTATGGATAATAATGTAAAATTAAATATAAAATATAAAAGCTGCTGCGCTTGGGACACTGAGGTCAAATTTTATATAGATGGGTGTGCTGTGCTCGGGGTCACCAATAGGGTGAATCAAATACTTGTTGACAAAACAGCAAGTGATCAAAAATTTGAGTGATTGCAATCAATAAAAGCATACTAAAGTGATGACTGGTGAAAATAAAATATAATAGGAATTTCACCAGACCTTGAGGTCCGTTAAAAAGAAAAGGCTCCAACAATCCAAAGGTCAAGCATGTCATTCAGTGATGTAATCCAACCTCAATCATGATAAGCAAAGCCTGACTGCTTGCGCTGAACTCCTGCCACAAATGATGGCCTCGCCCCAAATGTAAACAAATGGCTGACGCAGTTATGATGTCACGTCCTTTGCCACCAATTTGTTTTAATGCCATTACAGCTTTCTGTGCTCAAATGCCTTGTAAACAAATTGGCGGAGCGAGCTGAAGGCAGCGGATATACGGCTGAAAATAGCTGTACAGGACAGCTGCGAATAGCCAAACATGCTTCAGCTCACTTTGGTTATCCATTTGGGTGCCTTTGGCAGCTTAGTGAATAACCCCTTAAATCTTGCATTGGGATGAAAAGACAGATTTTGGTTCTTTCCTCACAAATACTCAATCTGCAATAAATATCAAGAACCAAGATCCTAACTAGCTGGTACTAAACATTACAAATTACACAGTAAACCTATCCATGCCAAGCCCTGTTATGGTTCTTTTTTTTTAAATCAGATTGCACATCTATATTCTTGTTTTTATCCGTATACATCAGTTCTTGGTATCTGTTAACACTGGCTTTACCATGTCTTGTCTAATTGAATTTCCATGTATTTGTGTATAATTTAATATTCTATATAATGTGTAACATCTTAATATAGTCAATAAATGACAACAGTGACCGTGTAAGACAAAATAATATAGTAGGGATGCACCAACAACCGAGTATTTGGGCAAGTATTTGTACTCTCCCAAATGCTCTGGTGCCTAGCCCGATACTTCTGGTATCAGGAAGCTGGGCAGCGTGTAATGACTTGCTGTCCGGCTTCCTGACATTGTGGCCGGCTTCCTGATTGGCCAGAAAGCCTGCTCCATGCTTCTAGTCACTTTCTAGCGATAAGAATAGAAAGATAACTAGGGAGGCACCGAAATTTCAGCTGTCGAAACATATCGGCCGAAAATTGTACTTTGGGCAAAATGTTGAAAGTACCGTCTTTCAGCCAAAATTGCTATGCATCCCTGGTTTCTCTCCTCCCTGCTGGGCGCTGCTCTGTGTCCCCTCTGACACAGCAGTGTCCAACGGGGAGGAAACTGTCACAGGAGGCTGAGCAGGGTGGTGGAGAGCAATGTGGGCTGTGATGTCACAGGAGACTGAGCTCTCCTCCTGTGACAGCGAGTCAGTATGGAGAGCGGGTACAAGCAGTCGGCGATCGCTGAGTGTAAATTATTGAGGATATAGATTTACTGTGTCCTCAATTATAAATGAACAAAGTGCGCTACCTCACTTCCTGTTCATTAATGATTTGTGGAGATAGTATGTTTACAGTTATAAATGAACATGAGCAGCTCAGTATAGAAGCTTCCTGGTCATGCATAACGGGGCTGCAGAAAAAGAGATTGAGGGCTCTGTGTCCTCAATCTGTTTTTCTATTTTAAAAGTGAAATATCAGGGGCCTGTTTAGAGCCCTGATGTTTCCCCAGCGTGAATGACCATAAAGTTGAAAAAATAAAAATATTTAATATAAATAAAATATAAAAAAAAATTTAGATTAGAAAAAAATTTAGTTTAGAAAAAATAAAATATTTAAAAAAATGTTCGTAAAGGGTTAGGAAGAAAAAAACTATTTTTGATTTCAGACTGAATTTTTTTTTTCAGTGCACCTCTAATAATAAAATGTTTTGTAAAAACATGTTCTCTGTAAGATTGTGAATACTGGAAAATATTCCCATTCAATGCATATATCATCTAGCCTCCTATTTACTTACAACTACTACCTTTTAATATTATGGATATATTACCATGAAACAGCACAGTGCCTTAGTGGTTAGTTCTTCTTGCAGCAGTAGTAGTCCCTGGTTTAAATCCCAGCCGGGACCTTATCTGCAAGGAGTTTGCGCGTTCTTCCTGTGCCTGCGTGGGTTTCCTCTGAGTACTCCAGTTTTGCCCCACACTCCAAAGACATGCTGGTAGGTTAATTGGCTCCTGTCTAAATTGGCCCTGTATGTATACATATGAGATAGGGACCTTA